TGCCGCCCTGTTATTGTAAAGTTTATTGTAATGTTATGTTATGTGATGTTTAATACGTAAAATAGTCGCTGCCTTATTTAAAACCACTCACTTCACTCCAGTGCAGAAAACGGTGGCTGTTAAGATTGGAATGCAGATACACCTGCAGCTCTTGAAACACCTATCGGAGTCCATTAGAGATGAGTAGAGAAATGAAGCCATAGAATTCAATGTTGAAGAAATGTCTGCAGGGGGAAGATCAAAAGTTCGTTACGTTGGAGGCTGGGCAATAAGAAAAATATTGGAAAATTTGCGAAAATTCGTTTAAGTCAACATTTACAGAGAAAATAAGAAAACCTTACAGAAAGTCCATCGACACTATCGCATGTGCGAACTTTTGGAAGAAAACGTCATTGTACCATTTGCAAAATTATCAGAAAGTACAAAGGTGGCTGAAACCCTCGATGTGACAGAAGCAAGGCAGTATAGAGAGCGAGGCCTTATTCATATCGGTGACAACGTCTATTGCTTTTTCATGGCCATGGAGAGTGAGCGTCTCAAGTTAATAAACAACCATAAGTTGAAAGAACAAAAAGAAAATTTCATTAAGGTGGCGAAGTGCACATTGAAGAACAGCCAGGAGCTTCAAGCAAAGTGGCTTGCCTGTTTTTAAGAAGATGAAAGAGCAGCATGCGAAGTAATTTATTTTCGATCAAGTAGTAATTACGACGGTATTTCTGAAGGTGAAGCGAGTTTTACTTTCACATTAAAACAACTTTACTGGTTTTTCTATGTTCAGTATAAATTATCACATTTCGACTGAGCTAGAAGTGCGTCATACGTAAAATGGTTTATTGCTTGCCCTAGTTGCAAGCACCTCCTGCCGAGGGATTTGAACTGTGCAGTAGAAAGAAACCTCTTATGAGACTGTGCAACTCTACCCGGAACTGAACTTGTATTAACTTTTACAGTAACAGCGCTTAGTAGTGGGGGAGGCACCGGTTACGCCGGTTTTTTGTGGATTTAATTTACTTTTTGAGTGGTACAAATTAACGCAGATGACGTCATGCATCTCGTTAAGATGGGATGATGTCATAGTTTAAATTAATGTTGATGACATCATGCATCCATTAAGATAGGATGATGTCATAGTTTATTGGAAGCTGGCAAGGAGCATATGACGTCAGAATTTCCTAGAGTTCACGTCATCAAAAAATTTTGAGATCATAATCTTTAAATAGAAAAGTGATATCATGTCCTTACTTGGTCATGATGTCATATTTATTCAGGTACGATGATATCATGGTTTATTTTTACCTGCCTTTTTTTCTATTGTTCCAAAACACATAAAATGGCCCTTCCTTACCAAGTGCGTCATTCACGAATTGTCAGAAGAAGTCATGAATTTCCATCACTTTGCCACCTTTCGATTTTGAGGTTCCGCCGGAAATTTTTGAACCATGGGACGAGTGGGAGAATGAGTATGAAAAACTACCACAGGTATGTGCTCTCTGCTTCTCTGTTTTTTGAATGAACGTTCTCTCTCTCCCGACATTTCTAAGCAGAGTCCCAGTCCACTGCATCCCACCTTTTTGCTCGGACGCGCTCGTTTCACCGCCCAACCTTTATCCGCCCTTGTTGAAATTGTCTATAAAGCGTAGAAATCTGTCTTTTCGAGGCCAGGTATCGAAGTATTTATGGAGTGGCAGTTATTATAGTGTGCTGGGATGGATTTGTAGTAAGCAGGTTTTGTTCGGAGTTATATCGGAATCGGTGATTTCAGTATGATCGATCGTTCTTCTTCTTAAGAAAACTGGAGCTGAGTTCAGGAGCTGAGTGCAGGTTGAGCTAGCAATCTGGTCGTTGGAGGTAAGGAATCGAAGTTAAGTATTCATAATATGATATATCGTTCTTTTTGTGACGACGATGAGTTTAGTCTGAAAGAGTTGTCTGTGTGTGAGTCGTGTTTTACAAGGATAAAGATGGTAAGATTTCGCTAGACTGCATGTAAGGAGAGCAGTTTGAATGAACGTTCTCTCTCTCTCTGGTCGAATGTTATTTCCAACTTAACCAATTGTTACTTTTTAGGGTACTGGATGGCCTCACTTAAATGAAATACAGAGTGGAGCGGGTAGGAAACGACTAGCAGAGGTAGTTTTTATAGTACTTTAGGTACCTTCCAGATTTTGGTTTTGGGTTGTGCGACACACTTTATTTATAACCACGAAGAGCTCAGGAGCCATAGCTTGTTAAATCTCTCTCGCGAAATAAAATGGTCCAAAAATACAAACAGACAAAAACATGAAAATTAAGAAATGATAAAGATAAAACGTGAAAGACAAATTTAGCAGTAGTTAAATGGTTTTTGCATGTTTACATTTTATATCGAGCAGAAAGAGCTACAAAAGTTATCTTAAGATAGATTCGATTCAGATGAATAGTCTAAATGAAGTCAGATTTTAAACTTGATGGAGTTAAAAAATATTTTTACAAAAACAACTTATGGTGTATAAATGAAGGAATTTTGAAACCATGCTGTTGAAAGACTTTGTTGACGTAATTTAGACTAAATAATGCTGCATCTTTTAAACAGGTTTGTAAATCCGTCAGTAAATACAACTTATAATTTTACAGGATGAAGTAGCCTCTACTCCTTCTAAAATGGCACGCTATCCAATTCTTGGAAAGCGACACGAATGTTTCCTCTGTGGGCGAAAATTTAATCGAATAGATGCCTTAAAATGACATGTGACATGACATGCGGCTCAGCGGGAATACATAATACCTGCGGTGAAGTTTTTCAAAATCTGGGTCCATTTCGAACACATGGAAAATCAGCACACACTAAACCTTCTATGTCTGCCAAATGTCCGCGCCAAGACGACTCAGATAGGAAGACTCTTTTGCAATAACAAAATAACATTTTGCGTAAATGATAAGTGCTATGTAAATTTCCTTCGCAACGCTTAATAGAAAGTAAGATATATTGAAAAAGTGCTTTATCGGCTTTTGTTTACAGTAATACCTTACTGATTATAATAGAGGTCCCCTTTACTAGTATATACCGCAGTAAGGTTCGGGGTCACAAAATCATTTCAGGGTGACAAATGGAGGTTTCAAGCACAATGTATTAACCGGTAAATAAAAGCCATTGATTGCAAATGTATTTTTGAATCGGAAACTAACCTATAAGAACAGAAGCTACAAACTGATAGTATTTCAGTAGATTTAGACAAGTCAAAGCAGATTTCTGGTATTTTGTAGCGGAAACAGCCAATTTTTTTTTGAATTTTTTTTTGTTGAAAAAAAAAAAAGGGTTATCTGCTTTTTATCTCCATGAAATTTTCCTTGTGGAGAATGTCTACTCTGAGATATGACTTAGACCAAGGGTTAAATCAGAGGGGTTTTCTAAAACTAATAATAATAATTTAATTGTAAATTAGCAGCCCATGTTTCTCGTGTCAAAAAAATGCAACTTTGGTAAATGTCCGGGGTAACTTCAGAAAATTGCTAATAACAATTATGTATGATTTTCCATATATTCCGTGTGAGTGTCACCATTTTGTTTTGTAATCGGAGTTAAATTTTCTGTAATTTTTGGGTGGTAAGCTCAAATAAATGAAATTAAGCGAAATTGTATTTTGAACACATTAGATATATTCTATTTACACATCCTTTATTTTCCTTCAGAGCGTAAAACCAAGAAAACAAAGCCAACCCCTATCGAAAAAAAGCAGTCAACTCCAAGTTCTAGTTGGCAGCAAGAGCCAAGATCTATCACCAATCTCCTTGAAGCACAACGAAGTCTCGTTCCCGAATACCGCAACCACTGGCATCAAATACGCACTCGTTTCAGCCGCAAAAATCGTATTTTGGACTGGTACAATTTCCGCCAACCTCAAGAACTTATCACTCATTTAAATAACATTTTTACTGACCAGTCCACAGTGTTTAAGCTGAATGTGTCTTTTGGTTTCATTCTACGCGACAACGAGACTGGTGCACTTTAATATTATTATGCCTCCAGAAATAATGAACAAGTCTTCGAAGAACCCTTTCAAATTACCACCGCAGCTGACCTTCAGCAAGTTCATGAAGCATTGTTAAACCTTGGCGTGTTGGAATGGGTACGCCAGTGACGCCCCAACTCCAAATGGGTCGTAGAACAGGTGACCAATATCACTTTCTTCGTCACCAAGCTACGAGGTCATCCTATAGGGAGAGGTACTTACCTGCCTTCCTATCTGGCCGAGAACCATGATTTGGTCGCCTTGGATCGCAACCGCAATAATGGAAAAGTGTACAGCGACAATTTGCACTCCACAATGGTTGTCACCCAAAGAATCTAGAGAGGGATGCACAGTATTACTATGAGTGTTATAGAGAATTTTCCCCTGAGAAAAATAAGTTTTTTGGTGTGAAGCTGAAAGAACTTACTGATCTGGAACACCTCTATGAAGTGAACATTTCCGTCTATTCCCTTGAACCCACCAAGCCCGATGGAGAAGAAGGAGATGAAGACAATAATGAAGAAGAAAATACAGTACCAAACATTGCTGCACAATTGGTTCACAGCTCCCTTTGCCACTACCCAAGTACTCTTTACCTCAACCTGTACCAGAATCACTTTTCTTATATCAAAGATACCAAGAAGTATGCCAAGTCCTACAGCTGCTTGCGATGTGGAACATTGTGGAAACATGTTGGCATGTTAAATCATCACGAGTGAACCTGTGAAGCAAAAGTGCATTACCAGTTTCCAGGAGGTGCTTACAAGACTCCACCGACCATCTTTCAGTTGCTAGAAGACCAAGGATTGATCATTCGTGATGATCTCAAGATCTTCCCCTCCAGAGCTACCTTGTATGTTTACAGCCGAGACAGAACTTAACAATACAGAAAAACTGACGTGGAATTCTAAACATATACCCCTCAGTGTGAGTGTCTGCTCCAATGTTCCAGACTATGACCAACCCAAGCGCTTTGTGTCCGATGGGGATTCCAAACAGCTCGTCAAAGAGATGCTGGACTATCTAGTCAAAATCAGTGAAGAAAGTTGTCGTCTCATGAAGCAAGAGTTTAATTTCCTTTTAGAAGCCATTGACCAAAAGCTGCAAGACTTGCAGCAAAAATCAGAAAGTTGTGAACCTTCTAGAGACAAGACAGTAGAGGACAGCATCCAAGAGGATAGCAATGATGAAGGAGATCTCATGGACACAGAAGACGAAGAAGAAGAAATCGAGTCTGAAACCGAGGAAGATCGTGTCTTTATTGACCGTGACGTAGAAGAACAAGGTGCCTCGTTTTACAGGGCCATAGATCGAGAACAAGAGGATCAGAGTGAGAATGATCACGAGTGTGCGTATGACAAACCAGAGGACAACAGCCCAGAACCTAAGAAGAAAAAAGTGCACCCTTTAGAGAAATTAGGAGATCGTTTCCAAAAATACCTACAAGAACTTCCTGTCCTGGGCTCCAATTCTGGTAAATATGACTTGAATGCCGTCCTACTCCAGAATGAAGGCGTTAATTTTACTATCAAACAGAACCATAATTTCATGTGCCTAAAGACTCCACATCTCCGCTTTTTTGATGTCACCAACTTTCTGGCTCCCGGTTTCAGCTACAAGTTTCTCAAAGCCTACGAGTGTCCTTAAACCAAGGGGTTATTTCCTTATGAATGGCTGGATTCTCTGGAGAAATTAGAACACACTTCCCTTCCACCTCACCAAGCCTTCTTTTCTACTTTAAAAAACAAGAACATTTCTGATGAAGACTACCAGTACTGCCAACAAGTCTGGTCGAACAATAATATGCAGACTTTTCGAGAATTTCTCATCTGGTACAACAACCTAGATGTCCAGCCCTTTTGTGAGGCCCTGGAAAAAATGTACGCCTTCTGGAAAGATAAAAAGATTGACATGCTAAGACAAGGTATTTCCATTCCCGGTGTTACCTTGACGTACCTCTTTACCACCCTGGAATCTGGCATCTTCTTCTCTCTGTTTGACAAAAAAACAAAGATCTGTACTATCTCTTTAAGAAAAATATGGTGGGTGGCCCTAGTATCATCTTTCATCAATACCACGAGGTGGGAAAAACCAAGATCAGAGAAAAAGAAATGGAAGATCAAGGAAAACAAGCAAAAACCTGTCAAAAGATTGTTGGATACGATGCCAATGCTTTATTATATCTATGGGCCATCACGCAAGACATGCCCACCGGATCATTGACAAGATGCCGAGAGAAACTGGCTTCAGAGAGAAAGTTCTTCCAGGATGGCAACCGAGTGGTTAGAGTGGAAGGCACATGAAGGAGGAATTTTTATACGCCACCAAATGAACAATACAGAAAACACATTGGTGAAAGAAAAATACCAGTGAATGGTTTTCACGGTCCTTCGCAAACAGTGTTTCAGTTCCATGGCTGCTGGTGGAATGGACATATTTGTCATCTTACTAAAGGAAAAGAAATGAACGAAAAGAGAAAAAGACCAATGACGGAGTTACTAGAAGAAACCAAAGCAAATCGTCAATATTTAACACGCACTAGGTCTCGTATCCTCATGATATTGTAAACATGGGATTGATTTGCAGCGGTTTAGTTGTATCCTGAGTTTGTTGGCCACAGGGCGCGAGGACGGGAACATGCCTAGAATACACAAGCACTTGGCTGTCGGTCATTTTATGAAAGTCAAGCATAACCTTGCGGTTCAGCTGGCCGAGGAAAAGGCAAGTGCCCTTTCAGAAATAAAAGTTGAGCAACAGAAGGTTTGCAGGTTGAATGAGAAGGTAAGCTTATTTTGCGAGTTAATTAAATTGAATACGCTAAAAGCTTAAAATTACATAGTACCGGTATTTTGACCTTTATCCTCAACTTTAATAAACACAGGAATCATCGATGTTACATAAAAAAAATCATGTTGAAATTAGCAGAATTCCCAAATTTTATCCCCATCTTATTTGATTTGATTGTGATTTGTACTGCTGAATGAAATATTATCAGGTGCTAAATTGTCTACATAATCTCATGGGGTTTTATTGTAATTGGAGAAGAAGAGTTTAATGAGAATTTGTAAACTACACGTAATTATTTCTTGTCATTTCGTAGGTAAATGAACTAAAAAAAGCATCTGAAAGTTTGTCTGCTGGGCTAAAGCACAATTAATCACAAAGGTAACATTTGTGTCATTATATTATACTAGGATGTAATTTGATTTTTTGTATTGACTGAATGTTATTTTATTTAATAATGTAGTTGACTAAAAACTTTCATGAGAAAACTGTGTTTAGAAAGAACCATTACAAAATGTTTTAGTTTTCTCAAAAAGAGTATCTGCATACACACCTTAGTAGGTTATTAGAAGTTAGAAATGTTAATTACATTATTTTTAGCTTATAAAAAGTGTTAATAATAATGCTATCATTTTATTTTCAGGGGGAGAAGTGAGTGCGATCACCAACAGCCCTTGAAAATCCAAGTTACACATCACAAACATCTCTTAGAAGAAACACTGAAACA